TGGAAGTCACACCTCTGCATGGGGCCTTGACACGTGCAACGCTGAGTCAAGAAGTACTTGATCAGATTGCGGTTCTTACATCTTGGCCACGATTTGTGGCAAGGGCCCCTCCCCCTCGGATTGCAACAAAAGGGTACTTGAGAGAGTGCACTGAGACTGGCAAAGAGTGTCAACAGCAAGCTGTGTTGATAACAGGCAAGAAAGCTAAGGGAAAAAAACACAACTCTGTCGCGAATTTTCTGCAAAGCTGCATAGCTATGCACAAATGGTCATCAAATACGCACATGTGGATCTGTGTCCTTCTTTGCGTTTGACATCTTGAACCAAAGCTGCCTTACATGGGTCCCAAAACAGTGCGATCAAGCCGTACCCGCAAGCCCCTGCCAAGCGTCCAAATGATACACGGCACCCTGGATTTCCACCTGGCCACTTTGCACCTTCTCCCGGATGGGGGCGCTGTACTTCAGCAGGAAGTCGATGGTGTGGAAGACGTTCACCTTCACCGCGTGCGCGGCCACGTCCTCCGGGTCAGTGTTGGCGCCCATGTCCGCCACGGCCTTCTCAGCGACGGGGGCCAAGTCCAGCAAGAGACCCTCCAAAGCGCAGCTCACGCTGGCCTTCTCGCTCTTCTTCGCCTGGTTGATCGCCGATTCACACTGCAACGGCCATGTTTGCACAAAGGATGTAGCAAAGGGCTGGCCCTTTCCGAAAGGTGCTGTGGTTAGGGAAAAGGATTTGCAAGCTAAACTTGAGTCTGGAACTGGCCCTCAAGGCTCTGTGGCTCTTGCTGCCGGCCTGAACCAGGTTCGGGACCTCCAGAGGCTGGCTTTGGTGCATAAGGTCTCCACCCCTTTTGCCTGGGCCTGGCTTTGCTGACTGTTGGGTGTTTCCCCTTGGAAAGAATTTACCTAGCTCCCCAAGTTTTTGGCCACTTCGAGTGCTCCCAAGGTGAACCGAGAACTCTGCTCGCTCAGGGTGCTTGCGCCAAAGCGTTTGCTCAGCCAGGACGCTTGGACCGAAGTGGCCGCAAACCCTACTAAGTTAATGCGGAACATGCTCCCAACAGGAGCATACCACAGTAGCTCCAACTGGGCCGAAGTCTCGCACCAAGGTAAGTACCTGACGGCGAAAGTTCTTGAAGGATACGTGCGAGTCGATTCCAAGACCTTAGAGACCACGCTTAAACTCAGCGGACGTAAGGGGCTGTTCCTCACTCAGCTCACTAAGGAGAATCCCAGACCCCCTCAGGTCGAATGGGTTCCTTTGGTGAGCCAGGAAAGTCCGAAGCAGTACATGGCTCGGGTTCAGCAAATGAGCAGTGCGCAAGGTAGGCCCATGGCCTTCCGGAAAGGTGGTGGTAACTGTTTGGGGCTTAGATAATAAGGGGAACCGCGTGCCTCAGCAGGCGCGTGGCGCGTCTACGAGGTGCCGAGGTGCTGGACGGAAGATCTGGTTGCCTGCCTCGACGGGGCAGGTTTCGGGGACACCTCGGTCTTAGGCCCCAAGGGGCAAGATGCCCTGGATCCGCACAACTCCGCCTGACGAGGCCGCCAACCTGGTCATAGGGGTGCAAGTTGCTGGCCCGTGGGCCAGCCCGAAACCTCTCTCCAATACTTCTAAGGACCCTGGCCAAGCTGATGCGTCCGAGCAACAAGCCCCGAAGAAGGCAAGGAAGGACACTGAACCGTACCGCGTCTTGGAGTGCAGCGGAGGCGGTAACTGCGGCTGGAACTCTATCGGAGTTGCTCTGGCCCTTAGAAATGGGAAGAAAGAACAGGAAGCGTTGAACCAGGCGATGGCGCTTGGCAGGACACTACGCTGTGATGCATACGCTCGCATGCAAAAGCATGCGGCAGACTACTCAGGTGTTTGGTCGGAGGACCCGGATGCCACTGAGGCTACTTCCGGCGGCAAGGTACCCACTTCCTTCGTGGAGTGGCGGGAAAGTGTCTTGTAAAACGGGCAGTGGATGTGCGGGTTGAGCTTGAAGGCGGGTCGCCGGGTTGTGCGCATCGTCGTAGATTTGCGGAGCGACTCTGACGGAGTGCCGACTGCCTTTGGTAAGGGCACCGCCGGTGCTACTGAAGGAGCACCACGCGCTTCCCAAGCCGGAGGCCCTTCCCGAGGCTTCCCGAGGCCAGTGACGAAGGGGGGCCGTGCCCGCAGCAGGCTGGAGGCGCGAACTCTGAGACCTGGCTCCGGGCCAGGCAGACGGGAGGTCGAGCCCGCAGACCAAGGGGGAGGGGGAGGCTCCGGCAGAGTTGAACCGAGTTTGGGCCTACTCTGGCTAGCCAATCTCCCCAACCGTGGGGCCTTCACACCCCGGAGTCTGGTACTGAATGTGATGCGCTCAGGAGTCAAATGAACCAAGCGGGACACAGGGAAGCCGAGTGCACACCCAGGAAGGACGGGGAGGGCGCCAATGGACTTCAACACTTGTGGGCGGCTGAGACTCCGCGAGCTCACTCTGACAGGCAGGACACTGCCACGAGCCTCGCTCCAGCGAGTCTAAGCTGCAAGAAGAGGCTCTGGGGCAAACAGAGCTGCTACAGCTTCAGCGGATCCCCACGCAGGCCAGGGCCCCCCCACCACGGGGAAGGTTTGGCACGGTGGAGCCTGCAATGCAGGAACTCCTTCCCCGGCCATGGTGGATTTGCGACCTGTGCGGACACAGGGTTTTTGCGGGGCTTCCGGCAAGGACGACCCAGCAAAACGCATGCCCATGAAAGGGTGAGGCACCTTAAGCGGGCGCATGGAGTGAGTAACCCCCACTTGCCTAAACATGGGCTTCACACCCATGGGCCCCGCTTGGCCATGTCACGACAGAGCGTTGACGCTCGATGGAAGCTCACGTGGGAAGCGTTTCAGGCGGGGAGGTCTCCCGGGTATAGGGCGGCACTTTTAATTTCCGTGAGGGGGGGTGGGCCAAAGCAACGGACGATGCCAGCAACGGATCCCAAATGCTCACCGCACAACAAAGGGCGTTGGCCCGACCATGCCTCCAGGTAGGCGTTCGCCGCTCCGTACACGGCCCCGCACTTTGTGTGACCGACAACCAGGATCATGCGAGAGCCCAGCTTGCCAGTGCAGAACTCCAGGCTGCCCACCATGCTGCCTGGGGTTCCAATCTTTCGAGCACACTCTGCCCCCAATTGTGGTACAATCAAAGTACGCTCTCAAGCATCAACCTGAGCCATGATTGTTTCAGACCCCCCCTCCCCCGCGACGCGAGGGGGGCCTTCCCACAATGCTGCCTGAGGAAACGGCAGCACGGAATGCCACCCACCCACCCCGTCCCCCCACCCCGTCACCCGAACCCTGGCCTTCCGCGTGGGTGCAGGTGTTTCCGGCGTTGCGCAGCACGAAGATGTCGCCGGGCATGGCGTCGAACACGGTCTCCAGGGGCGCCCGCGAGTCTGCGCAGCCGATGATGGCGGTGTGGGGCGCCTGGCCTCTGTCCACCAGCTCCTGACTCGAACATGCAGCACTTGGCCAGTCTTTGGCCACAAGGGCCACAAGCATAGGTGTCCTGTTGGAAAAATAGATGGCCCTGGTACTGTAAATGAAATACAACCCGTCTAAACTAACCTAGAACGCACAATGGTCACAAGTCGCAAGAGCCTCCAGTCTCCATTGTCCATGTGCCACCTCACCCCACTTCACCCTCGCCTTGCGCATGGCCTCGTTGGTGCGGGTCGCCTGGGGCTCGCCCTTCACGAAGCGCGCGTTGCCCTCCTTCAAGAGCTTTATGGCCTCCTCCGGGGCCATGGGCGCATCCGCGGCAGTTCGCACAACAAGTCCTGGGCGAAGAAGGCGAGGAGGAAGGGCGAGGGCGCGGGGCGCGGGGGCAAACTGGGGTATGAATTCTGTGGGAACCCTTTGGTGGACGCATCATGCCCCACTTCGAATCCGCCTGGCAATTGACAGCCTGGGGGAAAACGAACCGTGCAGGTCTTTTGGCGATCCACGCAGCGTTTGCCCTTTTCGACCACTGAAGGGTTCAGGGGGAATAGTGGCAACCCGCAAAATTGTTCCTGTGCAACTTGTTTACTCTTCCTGGCATATTGTTCTACGCAAACTGTTGGTTCCATGGAACAGAGGGATAGCTTGCCGACACGCTTGCAAAAGCCATCCTCGAACAACTCCCTATTCTAACACGCTGCATGACCAGAGGTGAATCAATCCTGGCAGCATTTGTCCAAGATCGCGGAACAAAACTAGCGGCAACATGACCTCAATGGGCAGATTCCCTTTCCCAACCCGTGGTGCCAGCAAGAACATGTTCTTCGCAGTCGCACCCCTGGGCATCCCACTGCCTGCCTGGGCCTCATATTATGTCATAGGCAAGGCCCCCCCCCCCACCGGAATTGCAGCCCGAGGCTCGTGCCATGGCCGAGTAGAGAGAGGAGACGAGCGAAAATTTGGATGTGGCGTGCTCAAAGCCGAGAAGCAGCCGCGCTTGCGGTAAAGCGATACCGGGTTTTGCCAAGGTGCGAAAAGGTCTCTCTTGGCAAACAGAAGCCCTTCCGATGACACAACTGACACCATATCAACAGAGCGGGAAGAAAGCCCCCGTGATTCTCTATATTACCATGTTTCATGGTTAGCTCAATTCTCTCTGGACACCAAGGAGGTGATGCAAACACTCAAGTTGAGCGATTCGCAAAATGCCTCTTTGACACCTGCAGACAACTTTACCAAGACCACCCGACATCCCGGTGGGGAAAGCCGTTGCCCATGACAAGACCAAAAGCGAGCCAAGCGCCAATGGCCAATGATAGGCAAGTGCTTCCCCTCCTTGGAAAAATACGTCAAATTTATTTTGTTATTTGCTTCTTCTTTTTTTATAAAATTAAAATAAAAATAAAAAATAAAATAAAAATGTCAAGGCTTTGAAGGTCGGCTTGAGGCCCTTGCCCTGAAAAAACCTACGCTGAGAGCCTAGCCGTGGACTGCGACCAAGGCACGCCCTACAGCATGGTGGGGATAGCTGGGGTCAGTCACCAAGACCCCCTGGTTGCGGGCATTGGCGAGCAGGGGCAAATGGCCTTGGCGTGGGAGAACGGCAAAGGCTTTACTGTGCAGGCGGGGATAGATCTTGGATGATTTGTGCCGCTTTTTCGGTCTGAAAGGAAGCCAAATGGAAACGGACCCATCTCTCAGAAACTGACATGGGTCTATTGGTCCAACTCTGCGCACTCCAACCCAGAACCTAAGCGGGGCCCGGCCCAGCCGCACGCGAGCTGCCACGGCAACTGCGGGTTCCTTTCATATGGAATCTGGATTTATTCTCCCCACAAAAATGAATGAACCTGAAACCGCCATGAGAATGTCCATCAAGACTTTTTTAATCAGATTGCAATCAGTCGAATTCACCTGGCTCCAGCGGCTCCATGGGCCGTGTGTAGGTGTCAAAGCCTTCACCCCGCCCGCTGGCTTAGGCAACTGTAGCCACCAAAGGCACTTGGTATTAGCCTTCTTCACTTCCAGCAAGCCAATTCACTTCACACATCCATTGATTTCAACCATGGCAATGGTTTACCCCAGCTCCCCGATGTGTTCAAGGCTGTCACAGCCAAATAGCCAATGTCAAAAAAGTGTCCTTAAAGAACGACCGTCCTCTCCCCAGGAACCCAGTCCCTCATCTTGCTCCGTTCAGCCTCGCGGGTCCAAAGCGACAAGGGAAACCAAGTAATGTTGAGAAGCCCTCAACATGCACCCACTTCAATCTGACTGACAAGGTTTCAAAGACCAGAACTTGGTGGTCCTACTTAAGGGACACCTGCCAGGCCTTGCGCGGCCCGCCAGGCCCTCCCTCCCTCGAATCAACAAACTCAGAGGTCCAAAGGAACGCTTTTGGAGCCATGACTAAGAACTAACCAACCCACCCACCCACCCACCCACCCACCAATCAACCAACCAACCAACCAACCAACCAACCAACCAACCAAGCAACCAAGCAACAAACCACAATGCCACGACTCAGAACAATAGACACCAAACAACTAACCAGGCAAGCAAGCAACTGGCGAAAACAGGTGCTCAAGGTTTCGTGTGGTGTGTCTCCGCTGAGCTGGTGTTGCCGGTGCCTGTTTGATGCCGTCTGGCGAAGGACCGTACTTGGAAACGTTGCTAGTTTTGACATGCCAAATCATCGGCCGAGCGGCTGGCCACAAGCCGAATCAAACCGAGCAAACTACGGCAGCATCGAGAACTCGGGTCGGCTCCGCTTATGCTGACATCGCATTGCAATGAATGCAATTGAAATATGTTGCAAAATGTACTTGCCCAGCCTGCTCAATCAAGTGACTTCAAAAGGCAGACGAATTATGCTCCAAATACCAATGTCATCCACCTGCTTCAAAAAGGGCCCTGAAGGCCCCCTACAAACAGCAACGGCTTCCTTTCCTCAGAACCCCAGGTGGGAAGCGAACCACCTTGCTGGTCTGCACTGGGAACTGAGAATCCCAGAATTTCGGAGTACGTATTCATACACCAGCCAACCTTCTCCTTTCTCCTCTACACGTTCTGCCATGCAAAGGCAACCATTGGGAAAAGATTGAAGGAAGCCATCTTTGCTTTGGGGCTCCCTGGTCTGCCATGCTTTTCCCTTCAGCCCGCTTCAGCCCGCTTCGGCCCCCTTCGGCCCTCTGGCCAGGCGGCGCTCTTCGTGATCTCCTCCACCACCTGGTCGATCTTCTCGGCCCTCGCGGGGCTTCCAAATCTATGCTTCTTTGTCTCACAAAAAGGTGCCAGAGCCCAACGGGTCTCGGGTTCGGCTTCAAGGTGCCCAAATTCCTGAGCGCTCAACTTCCTCACCCTTTAACAGAGGTCAAACCTCCCACAAAGACCTCCTCCCGACTTCCAAAGAAAACTGACCGAGTTCTAGAGGAATCCACCGCCATGTCAAAGATCAACATCGCAGTGCCATGTATCTTTTCAGGAACCCTGTTCCCTCTTTGACCCATCTTCGCTTCAATGAACAAGAGACGGTAGGGGCTTCCGGGAGAACGTCTGGTGCATGCAGCAGCGGCCCTCGTTCAGCGCACGCAGCGGCAGCAAAAGCTCCTGGAGGAGTCTGGCTTGAGGTGGCGGGAGCAAGTGAACCAGGGACACGGCATGTAATGTTGATGGTTGATCAACTGCAGCGACGGTGGCTGAAGGGACGTTTTATTCTCCCATCTGGCCAAGGGGAGAGGAAAATGGACAGGCAACATGCACGCCGCACGCTCTCAACAAACCTGGTACATCGCCCCTTTGGGAAACTGACGCCACGGGGGCAGCGCCTCGCTCCGTCCCAGAATAAGCCCAGGTATCCCCACCTGGAACCAGAACCCTTTGACGCTGGCCCTCAGCGGCTTGAACCTAATCTTTCCAACATGAAATCTAAGAGAATGAAAAAGGAAAAAAAAGAAGCTTGGAATGGATAACCCTTGATTTCTAGTCTCGGCCATTCGCATGCCAACTGATCCAAAAAGGATTATAAATGAGATAAGGGCATGCGATGGAAGAAGATGTAAAGGTTAACTGCCATTCCATTCCTTTCTCCTGTGGATTTACAGCAATATCATTCCTGTTCATCATTTGTTTCAGAAGAATCCTTGGAATTTAACAGCCGCACAACACCACCCCGGAAACCCGCCAAAACCATCGGAACCCTCCAAAATCATTCCCAAATGTTCAAGACCCAAAAGCGCTTCTTTCCCCCCCCCAAAGTTCTCCGCTTCTCCTAGCACGGTCTCTTCCAAGAAGCCGCCCCAAGGGCGTCCCTCTCTTCCCGGGTTCAGCTCGCCTCCCCAGCGCATCCTTCTCCGCCAGAAGCGCCCCGTGCGTGGCGTGGGCCCAGCGTCAAAGGCCCGGGCCCCCGTCGCCCCCGTCGCCCCCTCCCTCACCCGACCTTCCATCCGTCCGCAACCTTACACTCGCAAAGCAAACATCTCTGGACTCCTCCTTTTTCACAGCAAACATCCTAGGAGACTGCGTCACCTAGGTTTCCTGTGACCTCCGCAACATCAATCTTGCTGTTCCTCGTTCACTTGCAAACTCCAAGAACCCCACCGTGCCCTGCCCCCTTCGCTTTCGCAACACCCGAAAGCCCAAAACGGGCCTGGACCGCACGAAGGAGTCGCGGGATCCCTCCCGGTAGCTGAGGCGGTCCGCGGGGTGCGGCGGAAAGCCGTCGCCCAGCGAGGCGCAGTCCTCACATCCGAAGCCGAGAGCCCGAAGAGACGCTTTGCAACATGTCCAGATTTTCGCGGGAGGCAATGGCAGGCGTGTCTCCACTTGAGAGACTCAGGTTCCCATGGCCCGATGTGACATGTACTTCACACATTTCGGAAATAGCCCCCGACCCCACTGACCCAACCATAAAATAGGGCTCGGGTTTAAAAGGGGCGTCAACGCCAGAACAATGCTGGGTTTTACTGGTGTACGGTTTGATTCTCAGTCAAGTTGGCCTCTGGACTTGTCAAGATCCAAAGGACGATCGAGAGATGCCTAGGTCGCGCAACAAGAAGCGGTTCCATGTAGTGAACGATCCGCAGTGCCAACGTGTGCCAACGTGGTTTTGAAGGACTCGGGTGCCCGTCTGGAGGTTTGGCGATCTTGACAAACATCCTGCAAACTGCTGCATGCCCACCACCACCGATAACCCGGCTGCTGACATGCAACACGCATCTTCTTTTGTTGAATACTCGGTGGGGATTTGGGGGGCAACCCACTCTTCAGCCCAATGAATATACAACTTGCTTGATGCCACTCCCTTTTGCTCTGACATGGACGGTGGATACATCGCCCCCTTTGTCGCCAACCCCGCGCCTTTGTCCGGAATTGGAAGTGCCACCGCCGCCATGGCCAAGTTCTTGGAACGGACGGACGGACAAATGCTAAGCTGGTGACACTTTCGCTAAGTTGTACGCTTTCGTGACATGGTGCTCCGGGTTGCAAGCATGCGGTGATCTGATTGGACAGGTGTTCCTAAAGTTCCTCTGTGCCTCTCTGGCCATTAAGCACGCATTGCCTTATGTGGCACTTCTAAGCTGCTTTGCCAGGCGGGTTGCAGAACATCTGGACAGGAAACAAGCTGCACGCAGAGCCATTGTTCCTTCGTGATGGATTGACCAAAGGGCCGATGTCACAATGGGCCACGGTTTCCCACCAACCAGGCAGGATTTGCTTCACATGGCCTAACTTTTCATCATCTCGCTAGCTGAGGTGGCACAATGAAACCAAATATCATGGTCGCTTTGAACCACATTGATAGAAAGTCAAGTGATCTAGGCAGGTCCTATATCTTGCGTACGCTCGCGCACAATCAACTGGTATGACTGTACATCCGAACCGATTTTCGCCAGCAAGAGCATGACCAAAAGCACAACAACTGCAAAGGATGTCTTGTAGCTGGAAGCCGCTCCGGCTGGAGAGAACATGTCCATCTCCGGCACGGGCAAGAGGGGCTCGTGATTGGCGGCCCAGGGGAATTGGAAGAGCAGGTGGTCTAGGTCCGACCAAAATTGAGTCGCAAACCAGGCCGCGAGCGTCAGGAAGCCCAAGACCCCGCGTAGGTGGTCGCCAAAGCATGGCGCTTTTTTCAGAGACGCGGACACCGTGGGCCTCGGCGGTTTCCCCTTAATCCAAGCGAGGGGGTCGGAGGCCAAGAGGAGAAGCAGAAGCTGGACAACCCAGTTCGGCCCCAACTGGAAGAAGACCTGCACGTGGAACATCGCAGTGCCAAGGAAGTACAGCAGCCGAATGGCAGACCCGGAGTGGAGAGAAGGCCCCATGGTGGCCACGACGATGGCCGGAAGGATGAGCTCAAATACCAAGGTGGCCCAGGACATGAACATGCAAATCCAAGGAGACATGGACAAATATCTGTTCAGGCTAGGGAGCCAGCTGAAGCCATGTGCCTGGTGCGTCACCGCATCCAAGAGCCACTCACCTGAACCAACTGCGTGCTTGAGCAGTGTTGACATCTAACATCCTTTTGTGCCGCGCATGTGTCAAAATGCAGGGGGGGAGACCTCCAAGATGGTGGTTTCACCGGTTAAAGCAACCGCCACAACTTATGGGGTACAGGCGTTGGCTGTTAGTGGACTCTCTCACCCTGCCTGTCACCAGCGTCGGCACGCCCAGGTACCTCACCTTGCAAACGCCTGCGAAGAGGTAGATGGGAATGATTGAGCACATGACGAGGAACTTCCGCAACCAAGCGCCAGCCAATGGATTGGTCTCCAGGAAGGGCACGGCTGCTGTACTAGCCAAAGCAAAAAGGATGGTGCCGTATTCGGAGTGTTTCTGATTGTATGTGTATGTAATGATCCCCAGGTATGCGTAGACGAGCGCACCGCAGCCGTAGAGCAGGCCGCTGAAGGCTCTCAGAAAGACTGGCAGGCACCCATCTTTGCCAGAGCTGGGCAGCAGAATGAAGCCCAACCAGGAAAGAACCATCCCCAAGCGCAGCTGGCTGAGGAATTCCATCCAGCCACTTGCTGTCTTCTCCGTGAGGTTTGGAAGGAGCCACTTGTTGCAGAGCATCGGATATTTCCATGGCGTAGGGCGCGCAACAAGCTCCACTAGCTCTGGCGTAGACAAAACCCCAGGCCTGGGCGCCATCAACACATGACCTCAGCTCTGGGGGCCAAAGGACCCCATCACCTCCATCTATATTCATAGATGCAGCCGATTCACAAATATGATTTGTCCAGACCCGAAGCTCTCAATACCAAGCCAGTACGAAACCAAGCCGGGCGATTTTTCGGCCCGGGGACCCTTGGGGCCTGTTCGTTAGGGAAGCCGATTGCCATACACGCGGCAACCAAAAGGTTGTTTTGAACTGAGCGGCAATGGGCCCAAAGCAGAGCAAACACCCAAAGTTTCATGGACATCGTTGGGTAGCTGAACTCGCAGGGAAAGAACCACCACCACCGCCAAGAGAGCCGCCCGCCAGGCGCCTCAAACCTCGTCTCAAGCGGTTCTCTGCTCGCAGCACCGAGGCCAAGCACCCAGAACTGCAGCACAAGGCCAAGCAGCAAGCTTGCAACGCAACAAGCCGCCAGCCCTGCGCCGCCCACGTGCAATATGGATCCATGCATTCTGGAGGCCGCGGCGAGCTGCTGTTGCTGCAGCTTCGTTTTTCCTGCACAGAGCTCTGGGTTGAGACGACACAGCGGCAGCTCAAGTAGCCGCGGGTCCGGCACGGCCCCTTCTCGGAGGTAGAGCTCCTCAAGTCCAGCATCCGGCAGCGCTAGGATCGAAAAGACCGCCGCTGAGGCGCAAACAACTCCCCGGACCGCAAGCTTCAGGCTTTGCTGAGCCTCCATATCACTCGCGGGAACAAAAGAAATACTGCGAAGAAACCGTTCAGGGCCCGGGCTGCTGGCAATGTACATTCATGGGCTGCTTTGCAACGGGGGCAGCTAAACCTTTTAGTCAAAGAAGTTTAGAAGGAACTTCCGTGTTACGGCAACTAATTGAAAGCTAGCTCTCCCTGAGACAGATGACAAGAGAAGGAATAAGCGCGCGAGAAAAGATGCGCGCGCGTGTGGTGGGAAAATAGAAGTGCGCCAAAAACGTGGCCCTGTGCGTGAATTTGCATGTCCGGAGAACTGAAAGCTAGCCTCCGCGTGTCGGACCATTGTCGGACCAAATCGGACCATTCTCGGATCACGTTCGCAGCGCGGGCCCATTGGCACGGCAACGCAGAGGTTTCGCAAAAACGTGGCCCTGTGCGTGAATTTGCATGTCCGGAGAACTGAAAGCTAGCCTCCTGGTCGGACCATTGTCGGACCATTGTCGGACCATTCTCGGACCATTCTCGGACCATTCTCGGATCACGTTCGCAGCGCGGGCCCATTGGCACGGCAACGCAGAGGTTTCGCAAGGTTTGAATTGCGTGGCAGGCGCAGCATTTTGGTGAGGTCGGGTGCAGATTTCGTGGCAGGCGCAGCACTTTCGCAAGGTCAACTTTTTTCAAGGTTTGAATTGCGTCGGAGGCGCAACACGAAAGCTCAGGTGCAGATTTCGTGGCAGGCGCAGCACTTTCGCAAGGTCAAGTACAGATTTCGTGGCAGGCGCGGCACTTTCGCAAGGTCAAGTAAAGATTTCGTGGCAGGCGCAGCACTTTCGCAAGGTCAAGTACAGGTTTCGTGGCAGGCGCAGCACTTTCGCAAGGTCAAGTGCCAAATTCGTGGCAGGCGCAGCTTTTTCGCAAGATCAAGCACAGGTTTCGTGGCAGGCTTTCACAAGGTCATGTACGCGCATCACTTTCGCAAGGTCAAGTACAGAACTCGTGGCAGGCGCATCACTTTCGCAAGGTCAAGTACAGAATTCGTGGCAGGTGCGGCACTTTCGCAAGGTGAAGTGCCAAATTCGTGGCAGGCGCAGCACTTTCGCAAGGTCAAGTACAGATTTCGTGGCAGACGCAGCACTTTCGCAAGGTCAAGTGCAGATTTCGTGGCAGCCGCAGCACTTTTTGCAAGGTCAGTTTTCGCAGCCAGGGCTCGAAAATCCCAACTTTTAAGTACGAAAGTAGTACGCGAAGTCAACTTTCGCAGCTGGGCTTGAAAATCGCAAGCTTTAGGTACGAAAGTAGTACGCGAAGTCCACTTTCGCAGCCGGGGCTCGAAAATCGCAACTTTTCAGTACGAAAGTAATACGCGAAGTCCTCGAAAATCGCAACTTTTAAGTACGAAAGTAGTACGTGAAGTCCACTTTCGCAGCTTGGGCTTGAAAATCGCAACTTTTAAGTACCAAAGTAGTACGCGAAGTCAACTTTCGGGGATTGAAAATCGCAACTTTTGAGCGCAGATATAGATGGATTGACAGACAGATAGAGAGACAGATAGAGAGATAGCTGTATAGAGATGGATAGAAAGAGAGATAGATAGAAACAGATAGAGAAATAGATAAATAAGAAGAAGAAGAGATAGATAGATAGATAGATAGATCGATAGATAGAGATAGATAGATAGATAAAGATAAATAAATAGACAAAGAGAATAGAAAGAGATAGAGAGATAGAAACAGAGATAGAGAGATATAGATAAATAGATAGATAGATAGATAGATAGACAAATGATAGATAGATAAGTAGATAGAGTACACGTGAGATAATGAGATAGAGAAATAGATAGATAGATAGACAGATAGAGAGAGAGATAGACAGGTAGACAGAGGGATACATAGAGATACATAGAGATAGATAGATAGAGAGATAGACAGATAGAAAAACAGATGGATAGATAGATAAATAGAGAGACAGATAAATAGATGGAGAGATAGATGGATAGATAGACAAGATAAATTAACAAACAGAAGATAGATAAACAGATAGATAGATAGATAGATAAAGAGATACATACATAAATAAATAGAGAGGTGAATAGATAGATAAAGAGAGAGAGACAGAGATAGAGGGATATAGAGAGATGCATAGATAGAGAGATAGAGGTAAAGAGATAGACAAAGAAGATAGATAGAGAGAGAGAGAGAGATAGATAAAAGGGAGAAGCAGACAAATAGATAACACGAGAGATAGATAGATAGGTAGAGAAAGATAGATAGACAAGCAAACAAAAGAAAGAAAAGACAGATAGAAAGAAGGAAAGAAGGGAGCAAGGAAGGAAAGAAAGGAAGAAAGGAAGCATGACGGAGAAAAAGAGTCAAGAAAAGAAAGAGAAAGAGAACTATAGTTTTTATATTGTTGAAACTTCCGCCCACCGGCTTCGCCGGCTCTACTGGTAGGTAAAACAACACCAGCAGTTGCGTTCGTAGCTTCCAAAGCTTGGCGCGCTGACGTGTCAATGAAACGACGACCAGCTGCTCGACCCTTCGCTCCCAGCCTCAAACCACAAAGAACCCAGAACCCAGCAAGGCGCAAACCTTTTTTACCGGGTTGCTTGGGAAGGTGGCACTTTCCTAGGGCACTGCGGTGCACCTAGGACAAGGGGCGAGATGTTCCCCCCCCCCTTATGGAAAACAATGTTGCAAGACAAGCGTGTCCTTGCTTTAAAATGCCAAAAGGGGGGCGTGGCACGCGTGCCCACGCCCGCATCAAAGGACCTGCGGGTCCAAAGACCGCGGGTCCGGGCCCTGGTACGAAGCTGAGAGTGCGCTCCCAGTTCTTGTCCGGCAGGCTCCAAGCTTGGAGGACTGTCCGGGAAGCCTTGGGTTTCAAACGAAACCAGGACTGCGAGTCCTAAACGTGACTTTGAGGGCTAGGAGCACCAAATGGCGGCGGCGTAGGAGATTCACCCCAGACCTATAAAACACAAGGGAAAAGAAAACCCTTAGCGTTAAAGGTCCCGCGCACTGCTCCTAGCCTCAAACCGCAAAGAACCCAGAACCCAAAAGCCGACAGCAAGGCGCACACCTTTTTTACCGGGTTGCTTAGGAAGGTGGCAATTGCCGGGCACTGCGGTGCACCTAGGACAAGGGGCGAGATGTTCCCCTCACTCAGTGCTTCCCAAGGCAACCCCGGAAACAGGCGATTGAGGCCAAGGCGCAAAGTCCCCCTCTTCAGTGCGGGGTTGCACCTGCGGCGGAATGAAGCACAGGGAGAGGCAATGCGAGGGCATTGCTGATACCTCAAATGCAACGGCTTTCATCAGTCCATTTTCCTGATGCTTGGAGTTTCAGCCAGGTCTTCTGGCCACGGAAAAGCGCGCGCACGCTGCCTTTTTTCCTTTTTTTCTAGGCGGCACTGTTTGGCCGCTGCATCAAGCCCCAGCCGTGGCGTGAGCATGACACAAGATACGTGAGACAAAGGTGGTCGAGTAAGACGAGCCAACCGATTGGAAAAGCCCCGCAAGGCACAAAAAGCCGTCAACGACAGAAGAACCCAAAAACCACAACGGCGGGAACAAAGTCGACGCATTGCCCGCGCGGTGCACCAGGGCGGCTACGCGGACGTGCTGCCATGGTGGGCATCCTGCGCTGCGGCAAGATGCTGCCGCCGCAGCTGAACCTGGTGATAGAAATCGAGTTCGCGCGACGACTGCGCTGTGGTCCGAGAACGCCGGCGCGCACCCGTCGGGCGCCACGCTTTTCCCAGGTCGTCCTGAACTCTGCGCTGGTAGAGTCCTTCAACCGGGCGCAGGAAGGTCGCTCGTGTTCAGCTACCCCACGGCGCACACGCACTCCGCCTCCATGCGCGGCGCCCTCTGCTGCCCAGCAACGGCTTCGTCTCTTCTACTGCCCGGTCAGCCCCTACAGCCGCGTCCATAACCAACAGTCGTAAGTTCCTGGCAAGGAGAACCTTCAATGACGAAAACCTTAGGGCCTTCGCTTCTTGCAACACAAAGGCATTGCGCTGTACAACATAACAGACATCCTTAAGAAAGCAGCAAGCTCCACATCGCGATGGGCAGCCGCTTGCCGTCAGTCTGAAGCCCCGAGATTCTCTTACGATGTGAGTCTTGCTCAGCGGCAACAACAAAAAGCTTCTGGCAGCTTCAACAAAAATAACAGTCAAGGACATCCATCGAAAAGGAAAACCAGGTCATAGGAGTGGTTGAGCAATTTTGTCACCACCTTTGCCACTTTTCCAACATGCTTGGCCGCACTCGGCATCGGGGGGGGCAACGAGTGGCCTGCAGCGTCGTTGCGCCCCAAGCCTCGAACGGGTGAGAAGATCAGACAAGAACTCCTCCACGGTCTCATCCGAAAAGCTTGGTGCAGGCACTTGTTGAGGCGGTCAACACCAACATGTAAGACGAGACGCCAAGCATTTTGGCCCACTGCAACCCAAAGCAAGCCACGGCAAGGAGCCCCGGACGCATAGGGAGACGAATGTTCCAATAGATGAATCTGAAACCTGTAACAGGGCTCCGGAACTCCTCTTTCGGCAACGCAACGGAACTTAGTTAGCAAGACAGGACGACTCTGCAGCGCGTGAACAAGACCGGCAACACACGGAGTGAGGGACACGGGGGACACGGCATCAGCAAGTCCCGTGCACATCAGCATAACCTTTCCACATCCGCTCTCTGCGCGGCTCAAACTGGGCAAGCTGGAACAAGTGAACTGTCATGTCCATTGATGAGGACGCTCATGCGCGTTGCACGGTGGCGTTGACGCGCAGCAGCCCTGGCGCGACATGAAATCCGGTTCAAGGCAAACCTGTTGGATGAGCTCGCGTTTGCTGACCGACTGGGGATCAATCCTCTGGCCATCTGCTGTCAGTACGGATCGTCTCCAAAGTCTGCACTTGGTCCTCGACAGTGCTTCCAAAGTGCTTGAAAGCGCGACGGAGACGCCGGCTCTGTTGTGGGGCTATGCGGGCCGCAACATGGTTTTCCGCAGTGGTTTTGGAACCTTATCGTGGCATGCTGGACTGTGGTCGATCTGGAAGATCTTTGTTTTGCAGGCGGACTCTTCAGAAGTGCAGACTCTGTTGAGGACATTTAAAGGAGCTGCTTATGGCGTGGGTCCATCAACAAAGCTGTCACAGCTCTGCTAGAACAAAAGCTTTTGAGTTCTTGGCACAGGCTTGCCAATGTGTGGGCTGCAGG